AGCTTGGTACGTAGTTATTAGTTACAATGACTATTTATCATTTAATATGATATATTAATTAAAAAAAAAAATCGATTGATTTATATTTCAGATAGTACACCAGTAGATAAAGCAACTATGTGCAATGACGCTGCAGCTGAATTAGATCGTCTAACGCAAACAAAAAAAATGTCGCCGCCTAATTCGAATTCATCGTCCGAATGTTAAATGAATAATTGACATTTGTTTTATTTTTCTTCTTCTTTTTTTTTGCGACCCATTAAAATACGAATTCGCAATATATCAATTTTCATTCTAATCAAAATCAGATCAATGTTTGTGCGCGAGTATGCTTGATTTATCCGTTGCAAGTATCTTAATTCTGTATATGTATATATCGTGACATTTAGTACTATTTTATTTATTTTTTCTATTTATGTTTAAGATTGCATAATAATCGACCGACTGTAGCAGACATTTTTAATTATATTTTACTAATTTTAGAAAAAATGAGATTAAACATTTATGATTAGCTAGTTGGAAAAGTATACTCTTATAATTAAATCATGTATGTTACGATGAATAATTTAGATTTAAAATAATATAGCTGTTTTAAATCTCATAATCGAATAGCACAAAATGCTACTTTATAGTAGTTTAAGCGTAATTAATTCTTATTATTAATAATAAAAATCAAATCATTAACATTTTTAAGGAGAGAAAATATTTTTTTGAATGATTCGTTTGATTATCTTTTGTTAAATCAATTAACTTATACACTAATATGCAAATATTATCAATTAAATCATTTCATTTATATTTATTTTCTTTTTCTCTATTTTATTACTTCTATATAAATAATGCTAAAGTCACATTTTTATTTAAATTTAAAGATGGGTCGCAAAATATTGTAATACGTAATAAATATAATACAAAAATGCAATCGAAAGTCGTGTATAAAATAACACGCGTTTATAGATCGAAGAAATAACTATTCTCAAAAGTTGCGTGATTATAAGGCAGCCTTAATCTGTTATTAAATACGATTAATAATGAATAAAGTAAAAAAATAATAAAAAAGAAATAAAAACACGACCAAGACATGATCTTGAGATATATAATAATAATAATAATAATAATAATAATAATAATAATAATATAAGAAAATATTTAATATAATAGCAAATTTGTGAATTACGTTTACGCACATGCCACCCCCTTAATTAATTTCTTTTTAGTAAATTATTTAATTATCATTTAAATCAGGGCTTCTCAAAATTTTCCACTTGGTGATCCCCCTTTATCAGAACAAATATTCTTGTGACCCAGGATAAAGATTTTATATTATCTTTTCTTTCATTATCATAAATAGACATAGACGTTGCTAAACTGGTTTTGAATAAATTTTCGGTCATAGCGCGTCCAGGAAATCCAGCGCGTTCTGCTCAAATTTTTGCCATCCCCAAATTGAATTACGCAACATCATACGGGGTCGCGATACAAGGTTTGAGAAGTCCTGATTTAGACGAATAATCTATGGATGAACGATGTATCTTTTTTCTCTACTGCCGACTGCATAATAAATATTATTATTATCATCTGATATCAGGAGCACGTTAATTAATAAATCTCATTAATATTATGTATAATATATATATATATATATTGCGAATATTTAATAATTATTTTCTTTAGCTTTTAGAAAAAGTTGTCATTGTATTTTACACGCAGAAATTAAATAATCGTTTGTGCTCACAAATGCTATACGATACTCCATATTTTTTTTCTTGTTTTTTTGTCGGAGAAACACGTTAAAAAGGGGGTATTTTAGTCCAGAGAGCGATAATTTTTGGTTTTTTAGGACTTAAAAAAAAAACTATTAATATTTTTACCATCAATTCTTTATCATCTATTTATCGATAATTTAAAAACATATAAAAAATTCTCATGCATCAAAAATTAAAATTCAAGGATTTATAGCAATTTAAACGTGGCCATGGAAAAAAAGTGATGTGCTAGTTGACATGATTTTGGGGTTTATTCATTTGACAATAAAACAAAACAAAAATTCTTGTCTAGAAAGTTTGACATTGTGGATGGAACTACAATAAAAAAAAAATGAAAAAAGAATCCAAAAAAGACAGCTGTATAAAAAAAAATTTTTTCTTTGACTTTTTTTACACACACACAAGGTCTTTTATTTTTTAAAAATAGTAAAAATTAAAATTTAGCAATGTCCGTAATACCTACCATAAAGCACCATGTACTGAAGGTACATGCCAAATTTGAAGTTGATTGAATAAATAGAACTCGAGATATGTCGGCTAGCTTGAAAAAAGTAGTTTCGAGAAAAAAGCGGTTAAAGTTTTGATGCGGGCTGAAACCATACTTGATACTACTGTATTAAATGGTTATAACTTTGTAACTTTCCAAAATTTTTAAATTTTGTTTTAGGAACATAGTTTTAAAGATCTATACTTTCAGAAAATGAAAAAATAACATCGAATTTTTTAAAATTCTAGACTAGAATACTCCCTTAATTCGATTTAATTAGTTTCTTTGTCACACGTTCTTTAAAAACTATTTATCTAGTAACATAATTTGTATATTCAGTTGACTGTAACCAATTGCTTCACTTATGTAAAATCACATTCTCCAATTCTTGAAAATAAATAATGTTTCATAATATTCGTATATTTTGCAAATTATTTTTATCATAATTATTTAAATTATTATATTTTAGTCATTCGTTTTGATATTTAAATTATTTTATTTAATTAAATGTCATTTGATTTTGTTATTTAAAATTAATTGAATAAAATTTTATCTTTATAGTTTATTTTTATCTTTGGATATATTATGATAAATGGTGTTTAAAAAAGTCATTTATTTGGCAGTTTTGTATTTTATAATATTACAATATATGTTAACGTGATATATATATATATATAATAAATTGTGTGATATTATGAGGCTTGTAATTGGAATTACATTCTTTTACAGAAAGGCAACTTATTGTTTATAGCTCACTTAGCAGCATTTTATATCATTTTCTGCCATTTTACGTTATATATTTGTGCGATATAGTCATTATTTAAAAGAAGAAAAGAACAAAATATACGAATAGATTATCGAAAAATAAAATAGAAGAACGAAAAGATAAATTAATGATAATTTCTTAATCATTTTAATCTTTTCTTTACGAAATTTATGCCACTGAGAGAAATTGATCGTACTATTGAAACTGTATCATATTACGTGTATATATATAATAAACTAAATAGATATTAAAATATATTTAAAATAATAATAATATTTTAAAAGTGTTTCGCGCGGTAGAACAAGCTTTGTTAAAAAAAAAAAGGAATAAAGAAAAAAAAAACAAATGGATAATTACTCTTAAGTTGCTAACAATATCGTTACATGTGATGTTCCACTTTTTCTATTCTATTAACACCATCGATTAAATATAATTAAATACTGAGTAATTATATAAAGTCTTATTGACTTATATATAATACTAAAATTTATTATGGTAAACAAGAATTATATATATATAATATTTTGACACACACAAATTATTTTTTGTTATTTCTTCTGTTTTTTTTTCTTTTAAGATCATAACAAGATTTATAATCCTATGCATGCATATTAATAAATTTGTATAGATATATATACAAATTTATATATATATACATAATATATATGTATATATATATTATAATATATATACAATATATATATATGTATAGTTATATTCATAAATATAGGTATAAAAAACATAAACCAAGGATGACGAAGTATGCTTTATATATAATTATAACAAAATATAAGTATGTGTGTGTACCAAGAAATAAGTTTTTTTTTTTTATTGATGCAATAGCTTTTCAATTGTTTTTTTAGGTAAAATAACGTTCATAAAATTTTTATATGCATTCAGGAACGTATGTACTAATTAATCATTCATTCTCATTTAACAGGTATAATATAGAAAATGACCATTCCTAATTTTCAAACATTCAATTAATTGAATGATCGTCAACAATAATTAATAATGACAAACGTAGAGAAAGCAATTATTATAAGTACTATGTATTATTAATTATTCATTCTCATTTAACAGGTAAGATATAGAAAGATGATCATTTTTTAACATTCAATCAATTGAATGATTGTCAACAATAATGAATGATGAAAAATGTAAACAAGGCAGTTGTTGTAAGTACTACGTATTACTAGTAATACAGAAGTATTAAGTATATAGTTCTCTTGTATCAACAACAAATACTGCATATACATGAATGATAACAATGAAATGATTATAGCCTTATTCGATTAAAACTATAGCTCAAATATATTCCTACATAATCGTAATAATGTTTATGGTACCCTCCACTAAAAATTATGTTAATTAATTAAAAAGTGTTTTTTTGTTTTTTAATAATGTTCATTAATAACGCTGATTACTCTTTTTCTACATGCATATTATATATATGTAAGATTCGTGAAAAAAATTAGACCGCTGAACTGACTGGACCGGGACGCGAATCACGGATTTTTCGCTTTCCGGGCGATTGCTCTTCATCCATAGAGCTATCCAGGGCCTACCGTCCAATCTCTTCACGAATGCTTATTTAAGTATTTGGCATGGAGGCGCTCGTCCCACATATATATATGTATAAAATTTAAGTAAATAATAGTTAATATACTTTAATCAAATAAAAATTCATTCCTTATTAATTATTTTTCGGAATAATTAATGTCAAGATTTTTTCGTTAATTCATTCTCAATCTATTATTATCGGTTTATTAAATCTATTGCCATAATTAGTCCGCTACGTAAACATTTGATTCTATTTAAATATTAATGGTATATCGTTTGAATAATTAGGAAGAAATTTAAATATTACTTAAATTGTCAAAAAATAAAATGGAAAGAATTGTAACGAACGTTAATGCGTACGTTTCTCATACAATGTTTTGTTTTCTCTTACACATTTATACTGTTTATTTATTTATTAATTTTTTTACTAAATATTTCTTATACGAAATACAATTACGAAATGTTTATTTTACGATCGCGTATAGATACCTTTTTTTTCAAATAATGAACATGCAATATTAATAATAGGACCATCGCGATGATTAAGGGAATGGGAAAAAGTTCGCGGTCGTTACGATTCCATTTTGCGTTATATTATAAATATGCAATTAGGAATTACTATTAGAATATTAGATTATCATTATTATTAATATTTCGATAGTCCTAACTCAGAACTAACGGTCAGTCTATTCAATAGAGCAAAATGCGTTTGTCTACTGCTTTGCGGCATATTGGACACTCCGACATTCGATCTCCACACATTTGACAGGTTCCATGACCGCAGAGGAAGATCATATTTTTTAAACGATCCAAACAAACTGGACACATTGTCTGAAAAAGAAAAACACCATTTTTAAAATAAAAATTATCAAATTTTCTTTCGGTTATTTGATCAAAGTATCAGATCAATCCGAAAGTCTGTTCATATTTGGACCATATGAATGATTAACTTTGACCCACTATGTTTTATTACTACATTTTAAATTAAGTCATATCTTATTTAAATGTTGTAATCAATCATTAAGTTTTTTATTAACTTTTGTCCACATTGGATTTAAAAAAGAAACAATAACAAATGGATATTGATGCATAGTACAAATGGCAAGTTTTGTAGTTTTCTTTTAAGGTAACGATGTAAATTTTGTCGCAGACAAAACAGCAGTTTTAATAATAAGCAATACCATTTGATGTGGTTTTGGTTTATGACAACAATTTGTAGATGATACGTTCATAAATCCGTTATTGATTGTATTGTTGCAAAATCCTTAAGAAAGGAAGTACGAACGAATTTTTGGACTGGTCTGATATTATTTTTATCTAAAGATATAATAAACGCAAGGAAAGTATACAAAATGAAAGGAACACGTACTTGTTCCTTGATATCTTGCAATTGTTGTTGAAGTTTCTGAATATCGCTGTGAGACGTGTCTCGACTTCCATTGTTCATCAAAAGAGCTTCCCCACCACCGGTGTTGGTATTGGTATTAGTATTGGTATTAGTATTGGTATTGGTATTGGTATTGGTATTGGTATTGGTATTGGTATTGGTATTGGTATTGGTGTTGGTATTGGCTGTCGGTATTGGCACCGGTTCTTCTTCTACGTCAGCTTTAACTTCTGATATGGTTCCTTCAAATATAAAACCGCATTTATTTGATGGTCATAACACGTTTCTTAATTTTCGTCTCGTTTGCCAGGGACAAGGGTTTCATTTTTTACGATGTAACAATATGTACTATTGTTTTAATTTTTTACGTATAGTTGAACGTAGTTTTCAAATTATTGAATGAAAATTAAAAGACATATTGCATCTCAAGTTTCTTGATAATAAAGATTGTAGAAAATGTTATTTACAAATTTAAAGAAAATTTGTCGAAAATGAACCGTGTTTTTTTAAATACGAATTTGTAATGCAATATTTTAATTTCATTGAGTTAATAATTGTATAATAAAATAATTTTCAATCAGGAAGGGGGAAAATAATGGTTTGCAAGGACTCTCTGGCCAAAGTAATCTTTGTACCTGAGGCATTGCACCCCTTAATGTAAGTGACATCACCTCCTCCGCCGCAGCAAATTGACAGCGGTACCATGTGCTGAATTTGTGTTCTGCATTGAACACATTTCTTCATTAAGGCAGCACAACTCCCACAGGCACATATGTGACCACATGGACGGAATAGGACACTGGCCTTGCGATCCGAGCAAACAACGCACTCCTCAATCTGTTGAAGTTTATAAAATTATTCTAAGAAATCAAAATAATTTCGGATGAATTTTAATGGTTTCTGCGTGATCAACTTACCTTCAGTTTTGTAAGAATATTCTCTCTGCAGATAAGACATTTCTTCACTCTTGGAGCACAAACGTTGCAACAGGCAACGTGTCCGCAAGGGCTGAAAAGCATTTCACGTTTTCCATCGGTGCAAACGAGACATTCGTCAATTGTTCCCGATGGTGCTGCGGTTTCGATGTCATGTCTAAGAAGAAAAATTCATATATAAATGGGATGAACAAATTTCTTTAACAAAAATTACCGTTTACCTTATGCTAATAAATATTAATCCCTTCAGGGCTTTTGTGCATATATGTGGACACTTGGTTTTATTGTATTTTGGATTATATTTTGAAATTAAACAAATTTTTATGCTGTTATTAAAATAAAAAATTCATCCCTGAAGAGATTGAATCGATTTTTGTTATTTAAACAAGTAAACAAAAAAAAACAAAAAAAGAAATGAATCAAATATGGATATAAAAAAAGAAAAGAGTGAAAACGATACTGACGATTCTTTGTCTTTGTGACACGTTGTCAAAGTTTTACAAAGATTTGGATCTGGACATAGATCCAAGGGTGTTTGGCCCTTTTTGTTTTTCAATTCTAGATCGGCACCATGAGCTGCGAGGAAGCAAGCGATGAAGGAACTACTTTTCTTGTCCTGACCCTGTGCACCAAGACCCATTAAAAGACGACCAACGTCTCGGACGTCCTGCAGCTGTCGCAGCTGTGACAAAGTGTGATGCCTCAGAGCTTCGTGAAGTGGCGTGTCACCGTCTTTGTCGGCCACGTTCAAATTTGCACCTTCTCGTACCAATAACTGCAATCAAATGATAATACATTGCAAATTATATTCAATACCGTTTAATTTATTTTCCCTCGAAAAAAAAAGTTTCAAATTTGTCCGATAATGTTCTGCGCGAATAGAAATAAAAAGAACAATCCTTAATAATAATTTCTTGACATACGATACGCGAATTTATAAATTAATACATAAATTACGCTAACCTGTTTTTTCTATTTTTTTTTTTTTTTTTTTGAATTAAATTTGATAAATTGATTTTCTATCAGAAGATAATAAAAATGTTTCTCTACGTACTCGGACAATTTGTGTATGCTGTCGTTCAACGGCGAGATGTAGAGCGGTCTGCAAATTCACATTTTGCAAATCTAGATCGGCTTTTCCAGCACGCGCCAATTGTTCAGCGACTTCGACGTGATTGTTCAGAGCTGCCAGATGAAGAGCCGTGTATCCATCGTCCTTTTTCTCGTCGACGATCCACGGCCTCGGTAATTTCGACAGCAAAACGCGCATAGCACTGTAACAATGGAAAGAAAAAGATATTGAGTGAAATAATAGAAAATAAAAAGGAGGAACGACGAAGCGTTTAATCGTCGTTAAAATTGTCCCGACCTATCTTCCCTTTTTTTCTCTTCTCATTTTCTTTTCTTTTCCATTCTATTTCTCTCTCTCCCTCTCTCTCTCTCTCTCTTTTTTTTTTAATCCCTCATTCTCTTTATAAACAATCTCATAATTCAGAAGAGCGAACGTTACGGGCTAAATAATTACGGTCTTCTTACGCTAGCGCAACGACGTACTTCTTCTTAAGAGCTTCGTCCTGCTTTCTTGAGAGAGTAGTAGGGAGTAAGAGAGATAAAGATAGAGAGAATAAATTATTTCTTGTTCTAAACTTCTCCACGATTTTCCTGGAGTACAAGTTTATGTTACGATTAATAAACGAAGTGGAGGATAATAGGTGGAAAAGGGGAAAACGAGATTTTACTTTTCTACCAATTTTATGACCTACCAAGTCTGTAGGGTCTTGACGTAGTAGAAGGTCTTAGATCAATTTCATTCAAAGATATAATATATAAATTTATATGTAATACTTATGTATATATGTGTATCAATGTATATAAGAAAATATATAAATTTTTAGCTATGTCACATGATGTGTATGTGTATGCGAACGTGATCGTGAAATCGATATCGTTGAAATCCATTCGTTTTATAGCCATCGGGACATCGGGAGTATCATTAACAGATGCGATTGTCAATTAACGAATATCATAAACTACGGTTATCGCGGCGGTTATTTTGGAAGATTATTATTTAGTACCGAAGCTGCGTGTACTATAATAACCATAACCGCGCGTATCCGCTTCATGGAATCGATCGTATCTCTCAAACTCGCGGTTTTCGGAGGTTCATTATGTAAACGATTAATGCGATACGAAGATATCGAGGATTTTATGATCGCAAGATACGAAGCGTTATGTTGATAGACACCATTTTGATTTATTCCCAAGTCATACTCGTCGTCTTGGAACGTTCTACATATTTGCTCAATATACTTTTATTAAACATTAAAATTAAATTTAATAATCAATTCAATATTTTCTATTGTGAAAAACAATGTAACGGGGTGTTTAAAAATTATTTACATTATTTTTGTTTGTTGTAACAAGTGGTTAACAAGTTTAAATATTTTTTTGCGGATTTCTTTTTTATAAAATTTTAGGAAAAAATTTATTTTCTTTCTTTTTTTTTTTACGTACAAAGTTTGTTTGTAAAGATACAATTCATGGATCAGCTAAAATAACATACCCTGTCATTAATTTTTTTGGAGATTCGTCAAAGACATTGTTTACAATATACGGATGACAGACATTGATGATTTAAAAGCAATCACTGTTGCTACTGAACGAATTGATGCTAAAATGCATCAACGTACACGTGACAGCATTTGAAAGCTTTACGAATGCACTAATGGTATACATATCAAACGTTCGTAACATTATTATTTTAATGAACAAAATGTTGAAAAATATACATTTTAAAAATTAATAAGCAAAATTGAATGATAAAATTGCATAAATAAATTTTAGATATCCTGTAATTGAAATAAACGTGCCACAACTTTGCACGAATGATTGATTGACTTTAAAATTTACAAATTAAAATTCTCTTTGAATTTACCACAATTATAATTGCACACGCAAATATTATATTTAAAATTATTATTTAAAGAATATTATTTATTTATTATTTAACCAAGTAAAAAGAATACAAATTTTAATCTCGAAGGAAAATTAAATCGACGAATCAATTTGTGCAAAAAGTTTTGACGAAATCGAAGGAAAGAAGAGAAGAGAAGAGAAGAGAAGAGAATCGTCATTTCTAATTACGGCCCTGGTATATGGACCCCATGGAGAGATTCTGTATCCCTGAGGTTTCCTACGATGAGAGACAGCTGTCTTTTGACAAGGCCTCCTCCTGGAGGCCGAAGGAACACTGCTGAGCCACGACGCAGCTTGACATACTACTATGCACGTGTTACCTCACATGAATGTATACGCTATCCGTTCGTGACATGCGATTAGGAAGACTGCCTGTGTCTTTTGGGAACAATGATTAAACCTTAAATATCCCCTTGGGTATATAATAGATGAGATATAGTACAATATAAATGATAATCACTAATTTACCATTATTTTCTTACGGGGTTTGTTTTCATTTTTGATTAAAAAAATATTGTATCCTTCATATTTAATTATTGCATTATTTATTCAGAACTTATACGTATTATATTATTATATTTCTTTTCATAATAATTTATTGTTAAAAAAAAGAAATGAGTAATATTTATATTAAATTTAAATTTAAATTAAATAAAATGGGGTTTGAAGACTCTAATTTTTTGTTAATTTATCTAGTCAAAAAGTATATATTTCGATACTGGTAACATCACATTTACAAAACTAATCTTAGATTTCAACTGCAAGAGTAATAAAACAAACCAAACAGTTTCAATTAAGTTTATTTACAGTTAGAAAAAATAAATAGTTTTCCTTTTTTTTTTTTATAAATAAATTTCTCCAAATAACTTCTTCTACCCTAACACACACAATCCAGACGTGAAAGCTTATTACTTTTAATTTGAGATATTTATTTGACGAATATTTCTAAGACACACGTGCAAGAATAAAGGAACGTGTATAAATATGTAATATAAATGCAATAGATGTACACTAAGTGGTCTCCCAAAATGAAAGGACCTCTAATTTCAGGTCAAAATAAAAAAAAAAAGAAAAAAGAAAATTAGTAAAAATGTGCGTATAGAATGCACACTATAGTGGTACCAAAAATATTTAGAGAAGGTCCTCGAAATCGTTAAACCTTTCAAGTGTTAAATTTATCATTGTGATTTATTCAAATTTTCGTTCAATAGTGTATATAGTTTGTGAATGTTTAAAACAAAAGCCACTATTATTTTCTTACTCTTACAATTTAATTGAATTCTTTATCGCGACATTACGATGCATTATTCTTGTCTCCACACGGGCATCGTTTCCTTCCGATTACAACGCAGTCAGAAACATTACTCCGACTCCATAAAATCTTTACGACGCGAATATAGCCACGTATACGGCCAAGGCTCATGGTAAAAGGGAACCAGTCGGCGACGGAGGGGGTGACGTTGAAGGCTTCTCCCTTCTTCATGGATTTCTTTTTCGTAGGCGTCATAACGACAACATGGGTTTTTGCATTCCGTTCTTATAGTAACGACGTGTCCTCGTTGTCGTTGTCGTTGTCATCGTACTCTCCAATCCACATCCCCACCCTTCACAAAGCTAGAGAGTGAGGAGGGTTGAAGGGCTTGCACAGAAGCTAGCCGTGCGTAGATATAGGCAACTTTTCCGACATGAATATGCAAACGGGTAGTTCCAATGTTGCCATTATTGCGTTAATAACAATAAATCGATTATCTTACAATTAGCAATTTGTTTGCGTTCCAATCTCCTCCTCTTCCTTTTCCTCCTATTCCACCCTTCTCCTCCCCTTCTATCAACCCTTTTTCCATCCTTTGGTCACGTTGCCGAGATAGGACAGGTTATTATCTCATTATCGAACGATTAACATCTATGATATATTTATTTGAATTTTTATAACGTTCGTTCAATTTCTTTTATCTCTAAATTTAATTAAAATAAAATATTTATTTTTTCTTTTATATATGTTCGAATTTTAATTCGAAATATAATTAACAAATATTTGATGACAGTCAATTTGGTTTTTATGCAGTTATAGTAATAAAAACAAAAGTGTTAAAAGATAAACGAGCCTATATTAGATTGTTTGGAAAACCAAAAATAAGATAATATTATTTTTTATAAAATTTGTGTGCGCTAATATTTGAATAGAAAATTCAAGGCAACGCATTTATATTTCAATGTATTTTGAAAAAAAAAGAAAAAAAAAATATAAATCGATCGGCACGAACTTTTTGATCAATTCAATAGCATATTATTGGGGTAGAAAAATGAATTTTATTTTCTACTTTTTAATTAAACGTATTCTATCGATTGTATTTGCGAATTTTGAATTTTACGTTATTATCCGTTTTGGTGAACATCATTGTTACTTAATTCTATGTTGAATGAAGCGAGATGCGTATATTTTGAAGGCATCAAAGGGGTATCCGGAGGATACGAGCTATCGAAGGATGTGCGATCAAAGTTTGAGCGTCGCCCATAGCCTCGAGGCTCCTAGGATTCGGATCATTAGCTGCTATCTCGAAACTCCAAGTAAATAACAAACAGAAGCATTCGTGCGCGAGTATTCCTATCGCAAGATAGGAATCTTCAAATCATTACAACGCTAAGTAAAATCGTCTTTAATGTGTATCCGAATGTTAAAGTTAGATAAATATTTTAAATTTCAATTAATTACCAATACCAAAATTATATCCCACGCGTTAAAATCCAAATAATGTTTTCCAGAAATATGAATAAAATAATTTGATATAATACTTTTCGCATTATTCTTAATCCGAAATTGTATTCATAATATCATTTCGATACGAATATTACGATATTATAAACAAATTATTTAAATTACATGACAGATTTTATGAAATAAAATGGTTTCAAAATATAAATAAAATCATTTTATATAATACTTATATATATATATATATATATCACATTATTCTTAATCCATCATATTATATATATATATATATCACATTATTCTTAATCCGAGATTGTGTCCGTAATATCATTTCGATAGTAATATTACGATATTATAAAAAATTAAAGTATAATTTATTATCATTATAATTGTGTAGTGACAATAAGGAAGAAAATATTAATGGCAAAGAAATGATTGGATTAAAAAATAATTGTGAGAGAAAAATAACTGTGTAAAAAGAGACACATATCGGAGAAATAAAATCACAGATGAGGATCGAGGAAGATCGATCATGGCCTCGGTCACTCCTCGGTGTTACGCAGTCGTGAGTTTATGTCGAGAGAG